TTTTATGTGCATCAATTATTTTCAGATTATTACATTTGATAGCTATGGTGTTTCGGGTCATTGCAACCATGGTGATGTGCATCGTGGGGCAGTGTAAGCTAAAATCATTTCATACTCTTCAACTCAATTGCACATAAGTAACATTTTAATTGTTCATAGCATAAAGCATTAGAAGAAAATAAAATGTGTTATTGCCTACATATAACTATTTAATGATAACTCACCTTTTCCATAATTTTTTTATTATTGAAAAGAGAATATTAATTTTTCTTTTAAATTTTTAGGGTGTTTAATGGTCCCTGAAACTATTGGAATTTGAGATTATGTCTTATTTATTCCCTTCAAAGGTAACTTAATATTTTATATTATTATGTTTATTTAATAAAAGTTTCAAATAGTTCATTAATAATTTTTTTTGTAGGGTGCCTTTCAAGAAGCAATATTTGGTGCTTGATTTTGCATTATTCTATTTTATATTGTTTGTTTCTGTTTGATATTGTTTGTTCTACTTGATATTTGTAAGGGTTTGGTAAAGTCGGAAATGTTTGGCACTGTTGGTCATCGAATCCCTTTGGCTTTATTACTGATTGTATGTTTCTTAATACAGGATGCTTGTTGAATTGATGCAATAATGCTTGATGAATTTGTACATTGATGCTTGCCGGTTGTGCTGCCTATTACTCATTGATGCCTTGTAAATTATTGTTGTTGGGTGTGACTCAAATCAATTTTTGAACCTTATAAATTCTTATCTAATAGTATTCATGTGGAATGATGGTGACATTTTGACTTTTAAAGCTAGAAAGTTGCATATAATTAACATGTTGGCAACATTTTGGTATAAAGGCTTGATGATGATATTTCTGATAGTATAGTCATGCTTTTAGCCTTGTAAAACTTTAGCTATAAGATTTGAGAGCATTTATTTCAACATAAATTATTTTGTTTAGTTGATTTATTGTAATTTAGTGTTTCGAGTATAATAAAATTAATTTCATTTATAATTTTTTGTTTTAGTATTTGTAATGTTATTCAAATTTCAAATATTTAATAAGTTCATTATTTTAATTAATATATTTTTATTTTAAAATTTCAAGTTAAGTTATACTTAAATTATTAATTAATTTTCACATTAAAAGTAATTAGATTTATGAATATTTTAACTTAATTAATATAATTTAATAAAATCAAGTTCAATAAGATAATATTTAAATGTAATTTAGTGATTGTAAATACTGTTGTGTGATGCTCATAATTTAATTAATATTCAGCTATTATCAATTTAATTATTAATCATGTTTAATTTAACATTCAGTTATTATCAATTTAATTATTATTTTATGCCAAAATTATCATATTTTAATGTAAACTATTAATATATGTTACATAATATATGTTATTCATATTAAACTGTATTAATTTTCCTTTTGCATTATAATAATGTTTTATCTAATTTATATTTAAAATAATTTTATTAAATAATTTTATATAATAGTTCTATTTATTAATATAAGTATCATAATAAATATTTTATTATAACATTTAAAAAATAATCATATTATATTTTAATTACATCATAAGCTAAAAAAACTGATAATTTATAAGATTTTCAGGTAATATAAGTCAGGTAAATATCAGATCAGATCATTAACAAGTCGGATCATTTACAGGTCGGTTAAAAATAAGTCAGGTTAAAACATGTCAAGTTGAAAACAAGTCAGGTTGAAAACAGGTCGGGTAATACCAGTTATTTACAGGGCAATCTCGGGTTCGGGTTCATATTAGTCGATGCAGTTCGGTTCGGGTATCATATTTCGGTTCTATTCGAGTTCAGGTCGGATGCAGGTCGGGTTCGGATCCACAATTTCCAGGTCCAATCGGGTTCAAGTCAACACCAGTTCCGACTCGAGTCGGTTTCAGATCGCCACAGTACAGGTCAAAAATAATTTTGACTCGGGTCGATTTCAGTCAATTTTACAGATCGGGTCAACTTTTTACGGCCCTAATTAGGGCGATATGAAGGGGGAAGTTGAGAATTAATAAAAAAATAAAATGAAGGGATGGTTAAACCGGACAATCATGGCAATTATTTATATATATATATATATTCAAAAGTGCTTTTTCTGATGTTTGCGCCAGTTGTTCCTTACTCGGAGATATGATGGCAGTTCAGGTCACTCATCGCTTCTGTGATCTGTCCCTTGTACCCTACATTTAGCCTTAACCATGGTTATCGTGGTTGAGAACTTAATAAACATATGGGATGCTTATATCCTCACCAATAAGATATGGACCTAACTAATAAAATTAAAATCAATAACAGCTTTTTTTTAACTATCATTAATTTAGACTAATTTTTTATATTTATTTATGTCCATATCAACATTAAATCTTTGTCTCTTCTTCAACCTCTGAACTTTCATTGTTTAGCTCCATGCTATGACTTTACTACCCTTGATGAAAAAGATGCTTTCCTGCTCATCACCATCAACTCTTTGGATGTTGTGGAGAATACATACATATCTTTGTTCATAGTTTTATGTAAACCAAGGACAGCAGGATACTTAACCCAATTCATATCAATCTGGTTCACTTTCCAAACCTTTTTCCTTTCTTTTTTTCTTCAATGGTTGATTCTGAATTTGAAATTGCAGGCATTTTGCTAAATTTTTATTGCTGTGACCGTTGGGTTGTTCTCATTGATTTTGATTCTCTCACACTTTCTGGTAAAAGGTTCAGTTCGTATCCAGTTCTTGTTGCATGTTTGTTTGTTTCTCGAGCATGTTTGTTTGTTTCTCGAGCATTGTGGTCATATAAACTCTGTAAAGATCCATTTTTGGGCATTAATCTCTTCAAGTTATAACCCGTGTCATATTTTAATCCCCCTGGGTGATTCGAACACAGAGCATTGATTCATGCCTTTCAACTTGTCGTTTTTCTAACAATAGGTGCAGCAATGTGGTTTGCTTTAGGACATTGAGTTTGTTATTCCTTCGAAGTCATGCCATGGCGATTGTAGTTAACAAGAGGAGGGAATTAAGAAGTTGAAGAAGAGACAGAGATTTAATGCTAATATGGAAATAAATAAATAATTAAAAATTATGCCTAAATTAATGATGATTAAGAAAAAAAATTGTTTATATGTTTTAATTTTATTGGTTGGGATCATATCCTATGTGATGAGGAGGTCTATAAAATAATTTCTCCTATTTATTATCCATTATCATTAAAAATAAAACATCCTTAAATTTGTGTATGATGTTTTTTTAATAGGATATATATTTCTTTAATCTTTTTAGTATATTATCTATGTTGTTTATGATTTTTAAAATCTTTAAATTATAAAGAGTTGTATAGTTCAAAATACTTGAATTTATGTATTAAATTATTATAACAATAATAATATCAACTAAATTTATTTATATTGAAATAATTATTTTTATACATGAATCTATTCTAGTCGTCTTTCTCTTACCACGTGAATTAAAGTTTTCTTGAACTACCTCTAAACAAGGGGGTTCTTTTTTAAATCAAGTTGAGGCGGCTTGGATATTTTTTTAGTAAAACATTTATTTGAAATAATGTCAAGATTTCAACCTATATAATATTATTAAAATATATAATAAACATTTATATAGCAATCCATCATAAATGCGGTACATATAATATATCATTAAATAAATTATGTTTATTAAAAGATGTTAAAAATTTTAAGTATCTCTCTGTAATCAATCCTTTATAAAAGTTTAATTTTAATTATAATACAATTTATATCTTTTTAGAGAATTGATAATTCTATAACCCAAATAATAACATATTCATATTTGATCTATATACTTGTATCATCCTTATCACTGGCTCCATTATGCCCAGTCTTGAGTAGCATCTGGACCAAAGACTTATTAAACTTAAATGACCCTTGGCCACTTTCCCTGGCTTGGAGGGATTTGCAAACCAAACTGTCCATTTTAATTGACAAATATGAACTTTTTAATGAATTCACTATATCGGTTTAAATTTATATTCATGTACAAATTAAATTATTTTAATAATTAAGAGATTTATTGGTATTTTTAAAATATTATACGTTCTGAGTTTTATTAACCAATTGATAATATATAAACATCATGTATACATAATGTTCGAACTCAAATCTTTAGAAAATAATACACTCTTTAATCACAAATTCATTTGATAAATTTATTTATATAAATATTTTTATTTCTTCACATTTAAGATAATTATTTTATAAATTACATTTTTAACATAAAATATCATCTTTCACTTAGATTATGAATATAATATATTTAATTATTAATAATCAAATTTTGAAATCATAGAGTTGGTTAAATAAGTTGTAAACAGTTTGATATCGCTTGAATAAAGTCTTGAGTTCGAGTCATTATGTATGTATAAAATTCTTGTTAAGAAACTCACCAAAATTAAGTATACGATATGGGTTTGTTCAAATTAATTAAGACGAAGCCTTAAAACTAGAGTAAATCAAACTTTAAACAAACATTTTATAAACTTTTGGATACTACAGATTAGAATTATGAAATTAATAATTTCCAAATGGGCCCGATTGGTGGGTGCAACTATAAAGGCGCCTGTTCTAGATTACCCAATATCAAGCCATTATTTAAAGATTCAGGCATTCAGACAAAATCATTCTCATGTCTTCTCTAAAAGAAAACTCTTTTCCAAAATTAAAAAAAAGCCCTCAATCATCGTCGTCCACAAAGGAAACAATCTATCTTCAACTGTAATATCCATGGACAGCTCCTCAGCAAACTTCCACGTTGTTTTTTCAGGCAACAATGATTCTTTGATAACCCCTTGTCTCGCTTATCAATTCGACCTCGACGACGCAATCACGATGCCGGAAAACCCTCTTTGATGATCCCTTTCCTATCTCATCAATTCGAACTCGACGAAGCTATTACGATGTCGGAAAACCTCAAGCCAGGCAACAAGAACTCGCAAGTCTTGTTTCCGACATGCCGGAGTTAATCATGCCGCCGGAAGCTGTTCGGTTTGTATGGAGAGTTTCGAGAAATCCGAGGAAACTGCAAGACGGATTTCGTGCGGCCATGTGTATCACCATAACTGTATTACCGGTTGGCTCTTGAATGGAAAGAGCAATTCTTGCCCTCTCTGCCGCCATGAAATATCCGGCTGATGGATGATATAAGCTTAATTATTTTATATTTTAGCTTCTTAATTAATTACTTTCACCGGTAGTTTTTTTTAATGTTGTTGGCGAAATCAATATAAAAACATCAGTACCTTTATACTATTTTTATATAAAATACAGTATCGGTTGATGTCTAAATCTGAGTTTAGGACAGGTTTATACTTGGTTCAAAGTGAGATGATGTCTAAATCTGAGTTTGGGACATGTTCCAAAATAACAGCATGGAAGTGTTTGGTTGTACTTTAATATTACTGTAATATTCCATTTAGATGAGTCCATAATTAATCTTACTTTTAATATTTTATTTTTTCTATTAAATATTCGTGTAGATAAAAATCATTAATTGATTATAATTATCATACTTTATTGATGTGATTTTTATGAGTTAAAAAATTTTATGTATCATATATCACATCATTTATGATCATGATATGATATGTTTCACTCAAGATGATAATATAGAATATGATACACCAATAATTAAATACATATATAAATATTAAGCTAGCAACATGCGTTAAACATTAATCAACTCGTGATTTTCATCTAACATGGTCGCTTTGATCAAAGATTGAATCGTTGAGAGTTAAAATATCAAAAGAAAAGAAGAATATGAATTAAGAAACTATCTAAATAAACATTGAACGCTAATTTTAATATTATACATTTAACTAATATCTAAACAATTTTTTAATAACTAAGCACAAATGAAAATTTTAAAAAGAATATTGAAAATAATAAAAATAAGGGGCATGTTTATGAGAGAAAAAAAAAGATAGTTTAGGGACTCTTCTAACCTACATGAATCAGTACTTATCTATCATTATATGTCTAATACAGTTACTGTGCGTTGGGGAAAATGATCAAAACTACGAGCGCTTAGATTAGTGAAAACGGTTAAGCAACTTCAAAGTTCAGTAGCGGTTCTAGCATTTAGTCATATGATGTATGAAATTTGTCATTTCCTCCTTAATTGCACAATTGGATGCTGATTTCAACCTTATCAATTATTAAACAAAATACTTCGTTAACAATTCAATAATAATTAACGGTCAAATGACTTTTTTATAAAAATAATATTATTCTCTTTAGATTTTTAAAAATTTATATTTGCATGTATACATCATCAATTAATTAAAAAATTATGAATATATACTCACCTTAAATTATTAAATAATAATAATTCAATAACATTACTTTGCCCTTTTATGTATCATTTTCTTGTTTCACGTATACGTACAATTGACTATCTTTGGCGAAGTTTGAGATGTTGCCGTGAACAAAAATTGGAACGTTAGCCTTAGGCACGTAAAACTATATAAAGTGCAAACAACAAATGCTGGAAATGAATAATAATCTATCCCGAAAAAAAAAGAAGCAAATTTATGACAATATTATGGGAATAATACACTTTTTTAATGTTTTTACCAAAATTACGCCCAAACAAATTATTGGTCAAAATGAAACCTTCTAATAAAGTTATGTGTACGTCATCCAAATGGTATCTCCCACATTAACGTTAATTAGGGCTAAAATAAAAGAATAAAGATTAATAGATCACAAATTATACGAATTTTATTAAAAAAAAATAATGTGTGCGATACATGTTGAAGATGCGTATGAGCACGAGTATGAGTCGATTGACAAATACAATGACATACATATGTATGTGTTATCTTTAATCACTCAATTAGTCTTATTGAGAAGAAATGTTTAAACACTTTAAAAAAACATATAAATAATGTGAGATTTGAGAAAATAATGTCAAAAACTTTTACTCTTGAGCTGTCAAAGAGAATTCTTAAACTTGAATATGCTAGTATCGGTATAATAATTAAAGACAGTTTTGGATATTATGATCTCAAGTATTTCAAAAGGAAACATGTATCTTTAACAACCGTACTAATACAAATTTAATCAAGTTTAAAAATTGTCTTAAATTCTTATATACTATTGTACTCAAATAAGTCTCTAACCTTAAATTAATTAGGATAATTTGCACATTTAGTACATAAATTATTACTTTGGGCATGTTTTAGTATTTAAACTTTCATTTTTTTCAAAACCATACCTAACGTTTAATTTTTGTTTTTTAGTATCCATCATTTAAAACATAATGGATGGGATGACGTGGTATAGCTCCGGTGGACAGACGACCAAGTAGAACGATGAATCACGAGAGAATGATAAGTTAACCAACATAGTCCAGATTTAAGCCCATCGGACGATGGACCATGAAGATCGAAAGATGAAGAAATTGAAGAGTCAATCATCGATTTGGGGAGATTAAGATGTTTCGATGAAATGGAAGTTGGAATCACGTCCAAGGGTAAAAAAGGTGTGGACTAAAAAGTTTGGGCTTCATCGATCGACGGATGAGACAGCCGAAGATTGTAGACATGATGGCCGATGAGCTCGTCCGTTAAGTTTTTAACAACATGCACTAAAATGAAATAAAATTTATACGTTAGTATGATTTTGAAACAAATGAAAGTTTAGGTACTAAAACGAACAAAAACTGTAGTTTAGGTATTAATATGCAGTTTACCCAATTAATTAATATCTAACTAAATCCTAAACATAACTCGTTTTAATTAGTTACATACAAATAAATAATATAAAAACTTATTTCAAATAATAAAAGTATAAGGGCCATACTTATGAAAATATGTAGTGTAGGGACTCTTAACCTACTTAAATCAATATTTACCTATTCGTAGATATCTGTAGGGACGATAGACTAATGTTATCTCACTTGATTTTATTATATGTGTAAATCATCTCCTTAATTAAGCCCTATTTTTTACTGTACAATTAATTTGATTTGGTTCTCAAGATTTTCATATTAATTTTGAGTTTTACTTTTTTTATTTAATTTGAAAAAATAATAATTTTATTTTATGATTTTTAACATTATTTGATAATTTTTCGATTTTATAAATATTTATTTAATTTAATTGTTTAATTAAATAAAAATAATCTAGAATTTATATGATATTTTAAAGTTATTAATTGTTTGAGATATAAAAATAAGGAACTAATTATAAATTAAACAAAAAATAATTCAATTTGATTCATAATTATAATTTTAAATTTATGAACTATTAATAGTCAAGATCAGAACAAACTCAAAATTTTATGTTATGAACGAACTTCTAAAATTTTAAATATTCAAAGGGAACGACTCTCCACACTCACCCACTTCGATCAATCTCTAATCAAAATATTTTAATTAAATTTTGTATTTATTCAATCTCTTTGCTCACTCCTAATATCTAGTTTTTTTTTAATAGTCCTAATATAATTATTGTGCAGCGAGGAAGGGTGATTAAAACTAACAACCTTCTAGATTAATGGCAAAAAGTAGATCAAATATAAGAATTTGTGAGCCAAGAAAGGGCCATCAATATAAGTGCCTCTTAGATTAATGACAAACAATAAGAGAATAGATTTAAATCTGAACAATTTTTAACACGAAAGTCAAGACTTTCATTTAAAATCAGAAGAAATTATAAAACGTTAATTTTAATTGTGATGATTATAAAATAATATATGTTGAAATTTTTTCTAAAATTGTTGACAAAATTCACACTTTGTATACACAACTGTTCAAACCCAAAGATCAAAACTCCATTTTTAATAACGAATCACTTAATGAATTTTACTAAAATGTAGTCCCTCTTGATCAAGATGGATGTTTCTATGGACTTTTCTCCTCAAAGTGAAAAAGAAATTGATGGGAAATGATCACATTTTTGGAAAAGAATTCCAGAGGAGCAAACGGGCAAACTTGGCTATCGATGATGATGTCAAGGAACAACTTGTAATCTCCATTTTTCTGAAGTATTGTGACATTTTAAAAAATGGAATACCTACGACTTATGAATTTTTAAGGGAACAACTTATAGTCTCCCTAATTGCAAACTTGAACGTTAATTTCAACTCTATCAATAAAAAAGAGTTTTTTTTTTCTTTTTAAATAAAAGTAATTTTTATTAAAAAGTAAAATGTCTAAAATTACAATAAAAATGTATAATTATCACGTAGACTAAATATTAATTTAAATATTTTCCTATAATTATGACACAAGAAACTAGCTAGCTACTTTAGTTATACAAGGATCATACATAAAAAAAAAGTTAAAATTCAACCAAAATACTAATATATCTCATTGATTTTATTATATATTTTTAATAATGATTATTTATCGTAATGATCATTTATCGTGAATACTATTTGAGAAAATAATAATAGTAATTTTTTTGGAATAGTGGGTGTGATTATAATCTTATATTTGTTCATTATTTTTAGTCATTGACAATTCATATACCTTATAAATGCAGTTGTTTGAATCCATAATCTTTAAAAAGAATAACACTCCTTTTAATTACTGATATCACTTACTGGGTCGATAATGATAATATAATTACCTCTCATTTTCTAGGTATATAATATTTTTATAAAAATGTTGTTTTGAATAATTTTATCTTTGAAGAATATTATTTTATTAATTTACTTATTTTAAAGAAAACATGCTCATAGGTTGAATGGTCTGTTTGACTCAATTCAAATATAATTAAAATAAATATTATTTTTAATTTAATTATAATATATATATATATTAAATAAAAATATACTATTACTTTATATTTAATTAAAAATGAATAATTTAAGGAAGGCATCCCGAGTCAAGCCTGTGCTTGGATACATATATATATTTTAAATCGCTCAGTTCAGTTTATAGACATCTCTATTCCGTGTATATATATATACATGATTAAAAAATGCAATTATTTTCTATAAATATTTAATAAGCTAATTATAGAATTAGAGTTTGTGGTATTTTTCTCTATTTTTTTCTTAGTTGTCGTTATTTTTTCTTCATTATTTTGTGATCGGTGATAGCGTTAGTGTTGGTGCTGATAGCCAACTATGATATTCATTTATTTCCTTTGTTTTATATAAAGTATATTTTTTATTTAAATAATTATGTCTTTATGGCACACATTCTTCTGTCTTATAGCACGCATTATTCTGTCTTTATGATAGGTTTTTCTCTGTCTTTATGGTATGTTTTCGGTCATTTGGTTATTGTTTTCGTTTATCATTCTTTCAGTGTTGGATTAAACATAGTTACGACTGATTAAGATGACGCTTATTTGTTATTATGTTGATTTCTTTGCTTTGGACCATCAAATTGGATTTGGATAAACAATTTGCGTTCGTGGATAATATTTTTATGTCGCTTGATTTTTATTTACAGTTTATCGGTGGTCTTTCAATAATTTCATCTCTTTTTGGGTTGTTTGTAAATACAATCCTATATGTTTATTTACCTTTTGTTTAAGTTTTTTGATTATGTTTTTTCTTTGTTTGGTCATTCTGTGATCTTAAGTGGCTAATTTTCTTGTGTTAGGAGAATATATTTATCATATTTAGTTTACGGTTATAAACTTTCATTAATTTAAATATTTTTATTTTTAATAAAATTAGCGGCTTTTATTAAAAAATATACTAATTAAATTAACAATATAATAGATATAAAATCTAATCGGAGTGTAATGGAAAGAGTTAAACAAAATTTCATACTAGTATATTCTAATTTAATATTAAAAATTAATCTGATTACAATGTAAGAAAAAATATTTACTTTGAGATAGTATAATATAATATATGTACATAATTTTTTTTAATCAATTAACAATATATATATATACCTTAAATATATATATATTTAAATTAAAATATAATTTTATTTTATCACGGTGATGTTAAGTTTACATCTACCTGATTTTTTAGTTACAAAGAATGATAGGGCCTGGTTTAATGGAAAAGAGCTCACCTTTTCTAGACGGTCAAATTTGTCCCACAAATCAGGTCCTAATATAAAGTTTTAAGACATTGCAGTTTCAGGTCTTAAACTCCTCTCTCCCTCTCTCTCTCTCTCTCTCTCTCTCACTCCGGCGAGCGGCTCAGCAAAGTTCAATGTTGTCCGTTTCAGGAAACAATAACTTTGTAATAATCCCTTATCCCACTCAGCAATTCGACCTCGACGATGCAATTACGATGCCGGAAAATCCTTCTGTAATCATCCCCTATATCACTCATCAATTCGACCTCGACGAAGCAATAACGATGCCGGATAATCCTCAATCCAGGCAACAAGCAGTAACCGGTCTGGTTTCCAACATGCCGACCGTTGATCATGCCGGCGGTAGCTGTTCGGTTTGTATGGAAAGTTTCGGTAAATCCGAGGAAGCTGCTAGACAAGTTTCGTGCGGCCATGTGTATCACCATAACTGTATTACCGGTTGGCTTTTGAACGGAAACAGCAATTCTTGCCCTCTCTGCCGCCGTGAGATTTCTGGTTGACGAGATTATATATCCGTAATAATTATCTGGGTAAAGTACACAAATAGTATCACGACTATAAGATAATACTTTTTTAGTTCCCCAATTATTAAAATTTATAAAATGGTCCCTAATTACTTTTTTGAGTCTCTCGACTATAAACAATTGCAAAAGGGTTATCCGACAATCATTATGTTCTAAGCTTGTCCTTTTTCATTTAAAAAAAACGGTCGTATGAGTTGGATGTTAACATGTTAACTAAGATATGATAGTTGTTTCAGATTATGAAATCAAATTTTATCATATCTCAATCAACAAGTTAACGTCTAACTCATACTGTTATCAATTTTTTAACGAAAAATGAAGAGTTTGTGACATAATAAATATTCATGTGACCATTTTGTAACTTTTAATAGTTGAGGTGTTCAACAAAGTAACACATTATAGTCGAGAAATCATTTTTGTAATTTTAATAATTGGGGACTCAACAAAATAATATATTATAATTAGAGGATCATTTGTGTACTTTACTCTAATAATTTATATTTAGCTTCTCAGTTATGTTCGCAGGAAGTTCTTCTTTAATTATCTAATGTAAAAAAACGTTAATCCCAAGTCTTGAATCATAATTAACTACTTTTTAGTGCAATAATAATGTATCAATTAAATTATATTTTATTTCATTGACTAATTTTTTTTATTTTAATTCAAATTTCATTTAGCGAATTAATCTAAATATTTCTATATTTTCTTATTACTTCAAATAAAATATAGTATCAGTTTATATATTTTATAATATTAAATATGTTGACAAAATTAATACAAAATTACGAGAAATGTGTCCGGATATCTTATTAATCTTGCTTCAATCGCTAATAAATAATTCACGAACTTTTATTTATATAAGACTTTATTGTGTTTAAGGGTACAAGTAAAATTACCCTAACTCATAATAATTAATCTGAAACAAAATAATTCATAATTAGACAAATTTAAATTAGAACAATTCTTGATAAAATCCACACATAATATAAATAAGAAACATAGAAAAAATCCACACATTTATAATAGAATTCAAATATAGAAGCTCAAAATCTCAATAATATTCGTCTTTTTATTTCTATTCTTACTTAGATACGAGTTTAATATTTGAAATCAAAGAAAAAAAAACTAACACTTATTTTTGTAGAATAAAAATATAAAAAACGTATTAAAAACGCTAAAGTTATAAAACATTTAAAATATATATAACAAATCATGTTATACTAATTAAATTTATAATTTTTAAGTGTAATTTATATGATTGTTTAAACTTATATTTTTTTGAGGTATGATAAAGTGTTTTATTAAAATTTAATGATTTATAAAAGATTTTTTTGAGATTATAATTTTTGAAAATATTTTATAAATTTAAATAAATTATATATTTTTATTTTTTTAATTACTGGTTAAAATTACAAAAATTATCAAAATAAAGTTATAGTTATAGTTGAGATACCAAATGAAACATTACCCATTAGTTTTAATGTGCTGCATCATCCCTTCACTGCAACTAATGACAGTTAACAGCTCGGTATCCATTTTATAATAAAATCCAAAAATTGATATCTATTTTATAATTTTTTAAAATTTAATATATAAATTGTAGTGTAAAGTGCAACAGGAATAAGAGAATCTGAATAAAAGTATTATATCTTGAAAAGTAGAGGAGAAATAAAAAGATATCACTCTAAATTTTCTATACTGGAGTCTTGACCCATCCTTAGTCAATAGAAAGGTTCAAACTTCACTTCTAAACCCTTGTTCTTATTTCATTTCAATGTTAGAAAATCATATCGGAATTATCTTTATTATTTCGTATAATCAAATTTATATCGATACTAAAAATATTTATATTATCTCACCTTATATGGATTTAAATCTTAATATTTATCTTAGAATATAATACATCTTCACTTAATAAAAAAACTCTAAATCAACTATATATCATGTTTTAAAAAAATAGAATAAATAAAGTGATCTCGGTGGTTAAAGAAAGTATTATTCTCTCTTAAGGTCTTATATTCAAATAATTACATCTATAAAATATGTATATATTATCAATGATTAAAAAATATTATAAATAAATATTATCTTATAATCATTTTATACTATTAAAAAACACAAATTATGTTATTATTATTTACTTGACCTGCTAATGACATGTGCTTGTGGAAGACAAAAACGTAGTTATCAAAAGAGAAAAGGAGAATTGTCATTAAGTGCAAACTTTTCAAAGTGAAGAAAAAGGGTAATGACTGGACTTTTGTTTCCTTTCAACATCATACTTCTGCTTTACTTTCTTCTCTTCTTATCATAATTGTGTATTACATTTATTTTTGGATAAACTATATATTAGTCATCCAACTATCATTTTAATTTTTTTATCGTTAATTTATTTTAAATAATATATAAAGTTACGTTTTAATTCCTTCTTATTCATCTGTTGTTAAAAAGATAACAATAATATTAACACATCACCATAAGGTAATGTGATATTATCATTGACAAAATAAAAAAAAATTCTATACCTACACCTTGTGTAAAATTGATACGTTTATTTATTTATTTTACTCTTATTCAAAATTAAACCTATAGTTACCAATTACCAGTTGGTTAAGTTGATGAGATGTTATATCTCTTAAACAATATCAGAGATTTAAATATAGGTTTTGTGAATGGAGAAAACTGGATTGAAAGGTCACTCTTATAATATGTCTTTGTAACATTTAATTTGAATTAATCAATGATCGAACTTATATTAAGATTAAGATAGATATATTAACTAAAGTTAAATAGACATATTTTTATTCACTAACATTATTATCTTCTTTAGTATTTTTTTTTTTGCAAATCTGAAAATTTTAGCTCATTCCAACTCTTCATGCTTTTAACTTTTTTTTCCACAACCGTGAAAATCTCTTAACAGTCCAACTGTTTATATATATTACAATCCATGATAATCTTTTTTTTTCTCAGCCGTGACAATTTTATAGTTGTTCGAAAATATTTTTTTCCTTGAAATGAATATATTTTACATACTTTTATTAGTTTTTATAATTAATATTTTAATGGTTTAACAGTTAAAATTAATATTTTATTTAGACAGATCACACACATTAAATTTTAAATAAATTAACACAAATCAATCTACCTTAGTGGTTAAAGAGATAGTTATTATTTTTAAAGGTATCAAGTTCAAACATTAAAGATTATAAAGGTGTTTGTGCTTTCATTGTGAAATGATTGAGAATCTTTAGAACAAATATTACTTGTAATCAATCTAGATTAATAAAAAAAGTTAATAAATTTAAAATATCTAGTTATTTATTTTGTATAAAAATTTTAATGATTAAATATACATTAATAATTATATTATTTTAAATGAACATGATAAATAAATAAAAATGTTGAATCGATTCAAATACTTAAAAAATATATAATAATGTTAATAAATTCAGCCATTTAACAACTAAAAATATTAAGTATAAAAAGCTTATGTACATATATACAAGTCAATTTTATAAACTATGAAGTGTTTTTTTAGGGAGAAAGTAATATAATATAATATATAAATAAAAATCAACATTTGACCACGGTAAGTTGGACTTGATACAACAACGGGTGTCATCTGAACAAATAAACGTGCTTACCGCTCACCATGGGATTGATACGTGTGACCCATTAATTTGCATGTTCGTCAATTACATTGATCAACAGTGTTTAGTTTAAGGTTTTAGTTTTTCAATTTTGATTTTTCTGTTAATTACGTTCACTATAATTTTTTCGACTCAACTTTAAAATAGTAAAAGTATATTTACAAGAGCAAAGGTCAATAACAACATTAATGCATATATTACTTCCATGGTATTTCTTAAATAACATTCATTTTCCGATGTTGAGCTCAAATCACAAGTACTGAAGTCACAAACAAAGAGTTTCACACCTGAATACATGGGCGAAGCTTAGGGAGGTGCATTATTCACTTTTTAACCGAATTAATTGATTAAGATTTGATTAATTGATTAATTAATTAGATGTTAAATTAGTTGACTATCAAAATTTTTATAAAATTTATTATTGATTCAAAATCAATTAATTAACCAAACTAACATAAAATATTGAACATTTAATAATATATATATTATACCTTAAACTCAAACCAATTAAGAATAAAGATCAAATTATCTTTAAGATAAATTGCAAATTTAGTATCCTAATTATCACTTGCGTTCCATATTGGTCGCCCAACTATTTTTTCTTTTAAAATCATATCTAACGTTACGTTTTGGTTTTATTTTGGTCATCCACAGTTAAAATATCAAAAATAAAATCATCATCAATTCTAAAAAATATATCGATATATATTAATATTTTTTCTGATTCCGTTGCTGTTTGTATACATAAAAAAAGAATGTTTGATCAGCATGAGAATGACTTCGGATCTACACGTTGCCTTTTGGTTTCGGATTCCGTCATTCCCATTTCATGTAAAAATGGTTAAATCGGGTAGAAGCTTGTTGCATCTGAAGCCTCAATAACTGCATAGTAGTGTTCCAACTTGCCGTCTTCGCTACCAAAGTTACAAACATTTTCCTAGAATATCCAAAATGACCACAACTGAAATTCCCGGTGCCTGTAACTCTGCAATCTCATAACTTTGCGGTGTGTTCTTGGATCATCCCATGTATGCCTGCAAAAGGGAATTTAATACACAACCTTGCATTAAACCCTAAACCCTTGGCATTAACTTCTTACCTTGGGCATTTTGCCCGGTTATGGTAACTTAAGAGTTGGCAAGACCCATAGATTTTGCGACTTCATTAGCAGCTAAAATGTCCGCTTGTTCCTACACACCACATTTAACACGATGATTAGTGATGTATATGAAATAAAGTGTTCATATTTGTCTTTTTGTTGGAGTAATCATGCTATCAACTAAATCATGAGGTGATTACGCATATGATCGTATAGCTATACCTGAAGCCGATGCAACAAATACATCAAGAACAGATGGACAAGCACCTGCACTGATTTTTTTCCGACAATGTTATCGTAAAAGTAAAACCTACATAACCCGTTTCCCAAAGACGAGGTGAAACTATTCTTACAAGATAGCATAGCAAGATAATTCGAGCCTTCGGATATCGCCATAGAAATCTGGTGGCCCTGACAGCTCCTGAATCCAGTAATTTTACAGCCTTCTGTAACTGCAAGAGGCAGATCGAAACACAAATCAGAGTAAGCAAATAGGATCGTTAAGTTAGTTTTGGAATATAAAAATGGGAATACCTGTATGCTTGCTGCAGCCACATGACGGTGATGCACAGGAAGAGGCCTGAAATTATTAAATAGGTAAGGAAATTTCGGAAATATCAAAAGTAACCGCATGGTAAATTTAGAGGAAGCAGAACTTCCATGAAGAGCAGCCAATGAAAAATGAAAATGTAGGATGGATAGGTAGTAATATCTTTCATTGCTTTTATTTTTTGGTTCAATAATATCTCTTCCATGGTTTTGCAATTATTTATTTACTTCATAAAAGAACTAGGGAGAAATTATAGGTTCAGGGAAAGCCAAAAAGAATAATTCCATTACAAGCGTCAAGTGCCGAGTACAATTGCATGAATAGTGTTGCTTAATTTGAAGGAATTACAGTCCAAGAAGCAATGCAAGAAAAATGGCCCATGTATAAAAAAAAATTGAGCCACTGGTTAATAAATGGGTGACTTAGCCTACAGACCACAGAATTTCTGTTTTTTTTCCAGCACCTTTTCTCTTTTGGCTGCAACAACATTTCATTCCAACATGCTGTGCTGCTAACTTCTGCAAAATATTTTATTCTTACATCTGAAGGGGAGATGTATGTAAAGAGGAAACTCTCAAATCAGGAAATTTAAAATTGGGCCGCGACTGAAGACTTACAATACTAGATAGTTTGGCATATCATAAAAGTTAATATAGATCCAAATTCAATCAAATACAGCTGCATTTTAGAAATCACATTTCCTAAAAGGAAAATCAGATCTCAAGGAGAAGGCAATATAATCTTACTAGCTAATAAAAACCACGTATTTTAACATTTCCTAAAAGGAAAATCAGATCTCAAGAAGATTGCAATCTAATAAAATGAAAAAGCATACCTTACTCAAGTGCTTTGATTTCAATGTCTTCCTCCCACGAAGACGATGCACGACGAGGAACTCTACTTCTTTCTACTTCAACCTGTTGATTATAACGGTACATCACAGAAAACAACCAAAGTGAATACCAATAGTTATACAAGTGTAGACACTTATTTTCGTCCGGAGTAATTTTATATATATATATATATGCATATAGTAATACAGTTTTTGAAAATGTTTTGACAAAATATAATGTATAATTTTCAAAAAAACGATTTTCGAAAATAAGTATATATTATATAGTTTTTGAAAACGTTTTTAAAATCTATATAGTATATGGTTTTGAAAAAATATTTTGAAAACATTTATATATTATATGGTTTTTAAAACATTTTGAAAGTATATATAATATATAATTTTAAAAACATATATTATATAAAACATTTTTGAAAACATTTATATATTATATAGTTTTTAAAACATTTTGAAAGTATATATAATATATAGTTTTTAAAACATTTTAAAAACATATATTATATAAAACATTTTTTGAAAACTTATATATAATATATAATTTTTTAAAAACATTTTTGAAAACTATATAATTTTGAAAACATTTTTTAAAAAGTATATAATATATAATTTTAAAATATTTTTGAAATTATATATTATATAGGTTTTGGAAAATATTTTTTTTTATTTTTTTTCCTTTTCTCTGTTTTATTATTATTAACATTTTTTTTGTAGGTCCAAAGTTAAGGTCCGAATAAAAGGGTCCAAGTCAGAGTCCAACAGGCCCAACTAGGTAGCCTGATCCAACTGACCCGATTAGGACCAAGTGCATGAAGATTACACAGCAAGACTAGGGTTTTTGAAACCCTAAAGTAAAAGCGTCGCACAACAAGGTCAAGGGTCACGCGAAACGGTCGGACATTGGCCGAGGATCCCGGGACTGAACCATCCCGGGATTTCAACAGTAACGCCTCGAGCAAAACGGAATAACCCGGGGTACTGGTTCACCGAGCAGGGTATAAATACCCCGGTGACCAACAGAGGACAACAACAATCGATACACAGTACACTACCAGAGAAACTCTAAGCAAAAAAACATCATCAAAGCCAAACACGATCACAAGCAAAACACGAACCATCAACAGCACAAAGACAAAACCAAAAAAACAGAGGAAACCGGGAGCAAACTCGAAACAAACAACACATAAAATAAAGCAAGCCAATACACAACGAAAAAATCAAAACATCAGCCACGAAGGGTCACCGGGAGCAGAAGAGTCGAGATGCCGATTTTAAAGGGTAAAGGTCGAAACTTTAAGGGTAGATCTACGACGTTTAGAGTTTTTTATTGGATTTGGGGTTCAGTTTTGGGTTTACAGGGTGGATAGGAGTATGTTTTTTCGGCCGCCGCGAGCGGCGACCATAGACGGCTGTAGACGGCGGCGGCAGGTGGCCGAAAATCGCCCAAGGGAGAGGTTTGAGAGCATTCTCTCGACTGAGAGAAGGAAGTTGAGAGAAAATGTTACAAATGAGTGATTTTGGGCTATTGGGATATATATATAGCAAGGACCGGTTTGCAAATAGGGGATTCTTAAATTCTCTTCGTAGTCACTTGTATTTTGAATCGCTTTACAATCTGATCACTATATACCATTTGGCATATGAATTTTCGATTTATTCAATTCATTCCCTACTTTAATTTACATTCTTTTACAATTTGGCCCTCTATTTTGTTTTTATTTTAATTTAGTCACTTTTGTTTATTTTTTTCTCTTTCACGATTTTTAATTTTTTTTCATTTTTATCTCTTAACTAACCCTTTACTTTTTATTTTATTCATTTTATTTTCTTTTATTATTTTCTTGTATTATTTTTGTTTATTATTATTATTTATTTTTTTACTAACCTTTAATTATTTTACCTATTTTATTTTAGCTTTTTTGTATTTTTTTACCATCTAATATTTTTTGACATTTCAGTTGAACTTTCAATCAATCAAAGATAAGCAATCCGAATCGAATATTTTAAATTTTAATTTAAATTTCATTTTTCGTAATTAAAGACAACCGTTAAATTAATTGGTACTGATAGGGCGGTTCAATCATTTCTTGACCGTAACCGACTCCCGGACCCGATACGTTTCTGGTACAACGCAGATCAGGTAAGAGAGTGTTTGATCCACCTAAATATTTTTAAAATGATCGGTGGCGACTCCAATTCGTTTAATCCAAGTCGAAGCCCAATTCCGGGACTCAACCGAAAGACGGTTCCGACAACAAGAAATAGAAATCAGTCTTGCATCTTAGATGTCAATAAACCTGTGCTTCTTGAAGACGCTTTATTTCCTTCTCCAACTGGAACTCAGCAGCAGCTTTTTCACTCGCCATAGTTTCTAACTGTGTTTGCTTGTAGTACTGCATAATGGAGTAGCCACAAGAAGTCAGCATAAGCAAATAGATGTTACGAAAAAAACAAATCTCAGTTTCAACTACCAAGAGGTCAGTCAGTTCACGATAGCGTTTCTCTAGTTCCATATGTTCCTGAGAAAAAGCAACAACTAACAATATAAATAAGGTAATGATTGGGAGGATTTCAAACATAAAACTGAATGTACCATGAAGCAATTTACTCTATGAATTTGTATATAGAAAACAACTGAACAGAATTCCATCCAATTTCAGATGAGAAGGAAATTTAAGAAATGAGACATCACCAGAAGTAAATCAATGTCATAGCTTCTAGTTCAGGAAATTTCTCCTTGTCTGCGTATATTGATAGAGAAAATATATGGGATGTCTTGATATGACTTAAGCATGCGGCACGTCATAGATGTTTCCAACATTTAAAACTTTAGGGAAGCTTGGCCCCAAGGAGCCAAGTACATTTCATGTCCATGGCTGTAAATGAGACGAGACAGATCGTAAGTTATTCTAGACCGACTCAGTCAAAGCTCAGTCAGCTCTCGAATCAAATGAACTCGACTCGAGCTCGAAATTGACTCGAATTCTTAACGAGCCTAAGCGAGCTACTTGATACTTGACTTGAAAAGCTCATGAGCAATTTGAAAAAAATAATATATTAAATTTTTAGATTTTTTTTAATTCAATTGTTAATAATATTAACATTTTTATGTTGTTCTTTTTTTTTAAAAAAAAATACAATATAAAACTTTCATGTGCTTAAGGTTCGGTTCGAGCTCGAGTTTGAGCTTCAATCAAGCTAAGCCTGAGAATATTTTGAGTTTATGTTTTTCGAGCTCGAGTCGAGCTTCAATTTTTGATTTCGAGTTGAGGTTGACAATTTTAAGCTCGTGAGTTTCGATTCAAGTCGAGCTCAGTATTACACTTTTCGAGTCGAGCTTAGCACTACCTGAACTCGACTCGGTTTGTTTACAGCCCTATCCATGAGTATATGGAAACTTTAGGGGAAGAGCAAAAACTTCAAGTTAAAAATACAGGAACAACAGGTTGTTCAGTAATAATTTGGTACACACCATAATATCTGACAAATATAACGTGTTGGTTGAACCCAAAACATACAAGAGAACATGATCATGTAGCTTACAGCTGATATACAGGTAGATAAAGCAGATAAGCATGGAATTTCAGGCTCCACTAAGTTCAGCATTCACTAACATAAACACCTACAGTGTATACATATCAGTAGAACAGACACCTACACTTCCTTCTGATTACTGCACATAGATCAAGGTGTATGCATGTATTTGTTTGATTGAAGAAATAAGAAAAGATGAATGAATTTTAACGGTTACCTGACGTGAATAATGCTCAGCATCCCTCTTCATGGCAGCCATTTTAACCCTCACTTTCTGCACTTCAGCCTGCAGCCAGACAAATTGGTCAAGAAAACACATCCATCAGCCAGAAAAAGAAACCAGAATAATCTTGCGATGATTTTATAATGATAATTGTATTAGGTAAGGGAAAATATGATACTTGGCTCTAATGAAGAGAGCTTGCTCTCAGCATCTCTTTGACCTTGGCGTGCACGCTCCACTTCCTCCTGCATTCCTGTATCCAATTTCACAATCTTTAAGCCGTTTCTTATTACATTAATTACAGTTGTTGCAACAGCTAATGTCCAATGATTATGCCTTTCACTATATATTAAATGTCTTATAAACTGCTGAACTTCAGAAAGTTCTTAATGACATATAAACCCCGATTCCAGTGGATTACATGATGATTCAGATCATACAAGTAGGATGACTTTTATTTCTAGATTATAGTTACATGAAATGGTCCAAAAATATCATTTGCAAGAAATAGTTCACACAGTTGCATCCTCTTCATGATTTACCTGAACCATTTGATTTGCTTCTTCTGGGGCCTTCTTTGTCCACGATGAGCACGAGCTTCCATATCTTGCAATTCTTGTTTTAGAGATGTGTATTCAACCTGATATATTGATAAATTAATCTCAAGAGCACTTTGATTTCACATTTAGCTCAGCCAGAAAGACAAACTTTCATATAAAAGCACTGTTATCATTTTTGTTTTACCTCAAGAAGTGCCACCTTCTGCTCAAGTTCTGCAGCTTTTGCTGTCCTCTCATCGGCAACCCTCTGAACGAAGAACACACAACAGTTTAAAATGCTTGTTGAAACATATTTAGATTTCAAATAATCAATGTACAGCTTTGCAGCTGAACAAGAGGCACAATATTTGCCAAAAAGATGGTGATATTTTAATGTTCAAACTGTAGATTACATACTACTAGAAGCTAAACTGCCAGTTTCTTAATTTAAAAAGAAAATTTGACAAAAACCAGATTAAACTAATAGTTAGCATCCTAATGGTAAAGCTTATTTCAGGAAACTCATTAATGTGGCATAATACTACTAGATTACCAAATTATGAAACTGAAAATGAGAAATCAAAGTGCCCTTGAGATTTCTTTATCCTGATCATTAAACTCATGCCGATTGCTTTTTCCTTTTTGCAACTTCAGCATTTGGTACTTGTGCAGATCCATTAAATGTTAATTTACGCTGTTTAGTAGGAGAAGAGATTTGGGAAGTTGGATAGTGGGGGTATGCTGTGTAACATAATATTTATCTTAGTAACCTTGCTTTATCACGAAAAAAATGTCAAACTGAGAAAAATTATTAGTTAATATAAATGTGAATATGTTTGTAAATGATATTTTTCCAGAATAACATATTAAGAAATCCCAAATGCCGACATAACTTCACCATGCAGATATTGATGCAAATTACCACCACATCAAGGCGATAACTTGAAACAACTGTTATCCACTTCGAAAGCATGAGGGACTAACTTTAAAGGCTAATATTACATTCAGCTAAAGTTTCTCTGAACATGCAATACTAAGATGCTCAATTAGCAAGTAAAACAAGAATATTAAATATGCAAATTAGTTGCTGATTTGCAGTGGAATTAGAAATAAAGACTACTTAGATTACCTGGATCCTAGCAAGAGCTGTGGAAGCCTCAACAGCTCGATTTTCCAATTCCACTTCCCTTTCCATGGCAGCCTATTCCAAAAACTAGATATTATTAGAGTGCAACCAAGATAACAAAAAAAGAGTAAATGCATCAACGTTTCAAACATGGACCATTTTGGTAGCATTATGTGCTGCACGTTCTTCTTCTTCTCTCCTCTCTGCAGAAGACAGCTCTTCTCGTAGGGCCTAAGAAAGAAGCATACCAATAGATTACCAAGATCATAATGAAACATGTGTGTGTGTGTGAAAACGCATGCAGATGCAAGCAAGAAAGAACCAATTACTCTACCTGCATCATCTGTTAATTCCCTGTTTCTCATGATAGACTCCATGTTTGCCTGACGGTAAGAAATCAAAATTGTTAACAAACTTAACACGGCCAAATGATGCAAGCCAAGAGGAAAAAATGATATCCCATTGAAGAAAGAGAGTGTCTAAGTGTGGAGGCAAAATAAAGGAACAAAATTCGGTCGAAGGAAAGGGATACAAAAGCAGACCTGCAGACTATAATCCGCTTAGCAAGACCTGCATACTATATTCACTTAGCAGGTTAAGAGGAACTTATTAAATGGGATGATTTTTAGTTATAAGGGAATTGACATAAGCTCTTTAGATTTATATTTCATGACAAAGGCGTTATTAAAAGAAGCATCAGGGTTTCTGTCATTTTATTTAGCTAATAAATCTAGTAACAGTCAGATATACATAATCTGTGGCGATAGGAACTGTTTCTTTTAAGCTAAACACATAAATTCACCTGCTAAATCATATAATTGAAAGCTTCTATACATATTGCATGCAATCTTGACAATGGCTTCTTTAATTATTTCAGTTCATAATAAGGTCTTGTAGAACAGAAATGTCAATAGGAGCTAAACTTATTAATTTAGTTGAGGAACTAAGTAGAGACCATACTTACGAAAGATAGAGCTTTGAAAAAAGGGGATTTTATAATGAACGAGAACCAAGCATAGTTTGGATTCAAACCTGAAGTGAAGCCAGATTTCCTTCAGATAAAGCAGCTTGTTTCTTAAGTGCATCCATGGAATTGACAAGTGCCTCTATCTCAGAGTTCTTTGCTGCCAAAGCCTCAACCATATTTGACTCTATCCTCGTTACTTCACTCTTAGATACAGATAAATCTTGCTGCAGCTGTTTTATACGAGTTTCATATGATTTACTCTGCTCCCTCTGTCAAAGAAGCAATTTAATCCTAAATTTTATTCCTTAAGTTGCACGCGTAACAAGCATGACTATAACATGAAAGTAAACTGAAAAGTGGAAAAAAGATAAAACCAACCGCCTCAGCAATTAGAAGCTCCTCAAGTTGTGCATTCTCAGATTTGTACTCTTGAAGACGGGATGAAAGTCCAGCACAAACCTAGGAATCAGTGTAGAACAATTTGTTACAAAAGCAAAATTACAAAATCAGAAAATAAAGAGAAAGAGAAGGAAAAAAAAAAAAAAAAGAAGCATCAATATATCTCATCTGTGAGTGGCTACTTAGGAGGCACAAAAAGATTCACACTCATTTGCAAGTTAGGCTGGTTCCTTTTAAAGGTTACTCTTTTCATGAGAAAGATTTTAAACGAGAACATTCTTCCAAGCAATATAACAGAAATATTCTCAAGACTCTGCCTAATAGATGGATGGCCACAAATATGATGTATTTAAAGAATGTTGATAACAAATTAGACCCATATAGAACCCATTAACATATTCAAGGAAAAGAAACAGATATGACGACTTTATCCCAAGGGTGCAGCTTATACTGATTCATAACAAAATTTTGTTCAGGGTTCTGAACTCTTATTTTCTATAGTACATGAGAGTGAAATTCAATTCCTTGAATACACGTTAGTCTCAATATTCTTCACCAAAAGGAAAACCAATAAATTCAGAGAGCTTACCCGAGCTAGTCTTGCCTCTTTTGATTGACCAGTAGAATTGGTGGTTTTAAGCAGTCCTTGAGCCTGGATGAAAACCAAAGGACTAGTGAAAAAGACTTTTAAATGGATACAACATGAGAAGATTCAAGCATAAACTACAATTTCAGATTTGAGTGAATTTGTCACCTCATCAAGTTGGTCCTGGACCATTTTTGGAGGAGTGCCAGCATTTTGCTCTTGCAGTTTCTTTTGATTCACAGGAGTTTCAATTTTAACATCATCTTCTTTTAACTTAGCTTCAGAGTTAACATGAGAATCAGCAACTACATGTTGTGACTTCTCTTGTTCAGTCTTGGAAGGGACATCTGCAGTTTGGGATTCAGTATCTTGGTCACCATCAGTTAAATGATCTTCAATGAAAACCTCAATATCTTTGGCAGCAAATGAAGGAGGGTGCTCAACATGAACATCAGAAGCATTCTCATTGAGAAGCTCCCCATTTGAAGTTGATAACGAAGATTCTGCATTGTTGATAATTGCAGAGACTTCTTCCTGATCAACACCATGTTTAACCACATTGGTATCCAACGGCTCCGATGAAGGAAATTTAGGGGGTATCTTTCTCACTGTTTCCATACAGCTCAGTACTTGTCGGACCATAGAATTAGGGCGATTTGACCAACCTGACGAATATTTACTTTTTTAGCACCGTTTGATGTATATTTTTCGAAGTGGCACTCTTTCGGCTGAGCTGGCGAAAGGCGTATCCCCGGAGATGTGCTTTACCCGTGTTTTCGCTGGCTCGACTGCCACGTGTAGAAGGTGCATCCCCGGGGACGCGCCTTCTATTAAATGCCATAAATGCCCCCATCCGTTTTCCCTAACTACCACCTCCTCCCCTATATAAACCCCCAACCCTCTCTATTCTTCACACCAAAATCAATTCTCCTCTCTTATATAACTCAAATTCTCCAACTATTTGAGTTTTTAAATTTGTTATTAGTGGTAAGAAATTTATTTTTATGTTAGTATTTTTTTAAATAGTTATTATATTTTATATTAATATATTTATGTAAATATTATTTTTTTATTAAAATAATATTTATATAATTATTATTTATTTAGAATTATTAATTTTTTTGTGCTAATTATATGTTTTGTCTACAGTTATAATGGAAAACGAATGCTGTTGCGATTGGATATTGATCATATCTCCAGACATTTTAGCGATATGGTAATTTTATAATTAATGTTAATATTTAAATTTATTTTTATTTTAAAGTTATCATGAATTTTTATTAATTTTTATTTTTATAATGTATATTATTTAGGATACTGATCGTATTTTAGAGACTTTTATTAAAAATCAACGTATATCGACACCGGAACGTATTTTGCCATATTTGGCTTCTGTCGGGTTCGGGTACATTGCAACAATTATTGGCGGTTGCAAACTCGAACCTGTCCTAATTTCTGCACTGATTGAGAGGTGGAGGCCTGAGACACATACTTTTCACCTTCCATGTGGAGAGGCCACAATTACATTGGAGGATGTCTCTATCATCTGGGCTTCCCGTCGACGAAAATATAATATGTGGTATGGCGGATGGTGATTGGCAGTCAATGTGCATTGATCTGGAGCTGCTCCGCAGAGTTTAATGGAGGTAGAATAGCTTTATCTTGGTTGAAAGCTAATTTTGAGGTTTTAAACGAAAATGCTTCAGAGGATCAAGCAAAGGCATGTGCTCGGGCATATTCTACGAATAATTGGAGGAATATTGATGCCCGAAAATCTCGCAACAGGTGCATGTATGTGGTTGCGGCATCTGACGATTTTGATGAAGCTAGAAGATATAGTTGGGGCGCTGCAGTTTGGCATTTCTCTTTAGAGAAATGTGTCGGGCGACGAATTATAAGAAAACTACTATCGGTGGATGCCTCCTGCTTCTACAATCATGGGCGTGGTTCCGCATGCCTTTCTTATGCCCGATCGTGAATAAACCATACGTATTCCCCTTATTGTTGAGGTAATTTTCGAACTAAATTTTGATTAAATATTTTCAATCAAATAGGGTGATATTTAGTTTATATTATATATTTCATAGGTCGATGAAAAGAAATGACCATAAAAGTATACCTACTGGGTTAGAGGAAATTCGTTTACTTATTGATACGAAAGCTGGGTCTGAGGTATCTTTTAAATTTGTTTAATTATTAATATTTAATTTAAAATGCTAGATATAATTAGAATATTTATTTATTTGAATTGTATATTTATATTTCAGTTTCAGTGGATACCTTATGCGAGCGATGAAGTGAAGGCTTGTATCCCACCTCACCTTAGTGGGTCATTAGAGGTATGGATATCGGTTATACCTCTTATATGTTATGCTATTATTGAGTGGCATCCAGTTGATCGCGTGCTCCGTCAGTATGGTTGTACGCAATATATTACTGGATCACCTAGGAATTTAGACGACGTGCATAACATAGATAGACGAGGAAAGAAAGATGTTAATTGGGTGGTGAGACACAGAGATTGGATTGCGCTTTGGGAGAACCGATATACACTGTTGGCCCCTCGACAATATTACGCTGAAACTGGTCATATGGTTACGGATAACTATATGGAATGGTTTAATGAAATGGGAAGCTGTTTCTACTTTCGGCGGAAGCACGAGGGGTTAATTCCTAGGCGCCGAGAAAGACGTCAACCGTCTCAATATCATCGTCCCCCGACGCGGACGGAGAAGGCGCTACCGGTTTTGCATCAGTCCCACCACAACATCCTTATACGTCGATGCGCAGGGGTACATGCCCAGCCCTCCACTTCATATGCCAAGCCCACCAGTTCATATGCCATCTCCGTAGGGTTACATTCCGAGCCCGCAGGGTTACATTCCTAGCCCGCCAGGTTACATGCCTAGCCCACAGGGTTTTATACCATATAGAGGTGCATATACAACTATGTTTAATGATCCAGCATATGGTTCATATGCATCTTATTTGGCTGGTGGTGCTTCTCCGCAGACCTCAATCTCCAATCTGGATCATAGACTCGATGCCAATGTTTCCACAGTTTTCACAGTTCCCGGGGAGCAGTGGGATTGTTACTAGCACTCCTCCAGGGTCGTTATTTTATACAGGCCCTTCAGCCCCTTCAGCGTCATCTACACCAAATGAAGAAAATACTGCTGATGATGATAGTGAAGATGAGGAGACTGAAAACAAGTTCCACGAAGAATCCTCCACGAAATAGACAACCACCGCCATGTGGAACTCATTCGAGAAACGACATCGGTGATCCAGTTGTATTTTACTGTTATTTAAATAGTTATATTTCAGAATTTTATGTAATTTGGTTATTATTTAAATGTTTCATGGTGTTACATACATATTTTAATGTTATTTTTTATTCACATTTTAAATGTTTGATAAATGTTTTTAAAATACAAATTATATTATTCGAAATTTAAAATAAAATAAAATAATATTATTCGAAATTTAAAATTTAATATAAATTATAGTATTCGAAATTAACATTAAATTTCAACTTAATATTCCAATTGTATTCGAAATTAAAAGTTATATTCCAATTATAGTTCACAATACTTAAATTGAAATTAATTTATCCATACATATGATTTTATCATTAACATATATATTAAAACGTATACATTAAAATCAACTTATCACTTCACATTATTCGTAAAAACATCTCGATGCTCATTCCATACAATTTCAATGTCACAATCAACTTATCACTTTACATTTATTCAATTTATCCATAACATTTATCTAATTTATTCAACTTCACATAATGTTTTAATTTAAGTTATGAACTTAAATTAATCTATATGTATAATTATTCTTAACTTGCTGAACTTTCAAAAAGAAGTTAAATTTTGGTTATAATTTACCTGATTTCACAATCCATCTAGTGTCCCGAGGGACATGAGTGACATAATAGGCAATGATAACATATTTCTCTGACAAATAATGGAAGACGCGCCCCCGGAAACGCGCCTTCAAGTCCCCTGAGAAATAATAGGTACTGATATGAATAGTATCCCTGAGGGACATGAGTGACATAATAGGGCAATTATAACATATTCTCTGACAAAATAATGGAAGGCGCGCCCCCGGGAACACGTCTTCAAGTCCCCTGAGAAATAATAGGTACTGATATGAATAGTGTCCCCGAGGGACATGAGTGACATAATAGGGCAATGATAACATATTCTCTGACAAAATAATGGAAGGCGCGCCCCCGAGAACGCGCCTTCAAGTTCCCTGAGAAATAATAGGTACTGATATGAATAGTGTCTCCGAGGGACATGAGTTACATAATAGGGCAATGATAACATATTCTCTGACAAAATAATGGAAGGCGCGCCCCCGGGAACGTGCCTTCAAGTTCCCTGAGAAATAATAGGTACTGATATGAATAGTGTCCCCGAGGGACATGAGTGACATAATAGGGCAATGATAACATATTCTCTGACAAAATAATGGAAGGCGCGCCCCCGGGAACGCGCCTTTATGTGAATAGTACTTCGATTATAGACACTATTATATGCAACGTATTATAAACTTTCAAAACAAACTTCAGTTCATAAGCTTTCAAATTCTCAAATTCCCAAACTCTAAATTCTCAAATTCTCTGAAAATGAGTCGTCTTTCTGTTGTTGTTTTGTATGATGGAGAAATTAAGGAAGCTGAAGAGGGGGTTGTTTTTGAGTCAGATCATTATACCCCCTTAACCTTGAAGAGAAACATCACAATTGAGGAGTTAATCACAAAAATTTCGTTAAAGATTCGTGTAGCAGGCCAGAGAAGACTATCTTCACTTCAGTACAGATTTCCTACTGAACTTTTTCCGCTCACGTATACATCATTTCAGCTTTCAAACGATGATGATGTTTATATGATGGTTGATGCTCATATGGGGAGTTCACAATCTCTTATTGAAATGTATGCCACTTTTATTGACGTTCGTGCAACTCGTGGTCTCTCATATTCCTCTCACTTTGGCATTGCATATCAAGCTGATCAAGTTGATAGCCCGACACAACTGATCTGTAATGATTTCACATCATTAATGGCGGATCCAACGCCAGATACCATGCCATCAAGTTCAATAGGAAGGCATTCATCTGCAACTGCTTATGATCTCAACCCACGTGGCTTCACCAATAATCCATATGGCAACATCTCTTCTACTTCAAGGGGCAGACATTCATCTGCCAATGTTTTCGACTTACATATGGAAATGCCAACGAGACGGCAGTCTATTCACATCCCACATAATACAATTGCCTCAAGTTCAAGGGGAGGACACGCAAGCGGGAACTTATTTGACCTCAACATTGGATTATCGGAGGAACCCTTATCTCCACCAGAAGAACCTCTTCAGGAGCCAGGTACAGATGGTGCTGAAACGGGATTATTCATTGAACCTGACTCACCACAGTTTAACGTACATTCTGATGATGACGAGGATGACGTTCCGATAAAAACAACACCAGCCGAACTTCCTGCACATATGTATGAGGCTAATTATGATGCAATGTATGAGCCTGAATTTCCAGATCTTCCTGATGTTGGCAACTATGGACTTCAATCATTAGTCAATGACGGTAATTTACATATTGGAATGG